GCAGCCGGGAGCACTGTCTATTTTTACTCATCGCCTGCTCTGCCCTGATTTCTCCGTGAATGAGGACAGCAGGCACTTACACAAATGTTATCTAGCCTGTTTGCAGGGCTGCGAGCTGGGAGCTGACCAACTTTCCAGCGCTGCCCCTGTCGCGGACTGACATACATGCTAAGCAATTCCTGTGCAAACGAGATCATACCAAAGCTACACAGAGACAAGGCCCACGGAAGATTCATCTGTTAAGCTTAGAGGTCCACGAAATACAAATCAATGCAGCTCAGTGAAAAAAATCAAGCACAAAATCAGCCTGATTAAAAAAATTTCAATGCAATATAAATAGCACATTCATTACCTGATTTTCCCCCCATTTCAACCTGTTATTGTAATAACATAAAGAAATTCCCAATTCCCACATTTCAAATCGCCGGGCAAAATATATTTAGAAGTTCCCAAGTGATATTAGTTAAACTTTAGTTTTGCACACATAAAGTATACTATATGCTGAGATATTTAGAGTCCTGTGCAAATTATTGCTTTGTATGACTTCTAATGGCTTTTGAGGAATAGAGACATTAAAAACTAAACTACCAAGCTTTTCCTTTTGAAATTGAACTGTGTGTCCTAGATCCAAAAATTAAAGATTCTTTGTTGAGTTTTGGACACTGCAGGAAAAAGAGCAACCTATTTGAAACATATAGAGCAAAATGCATTCCTGGTTGTTTAATTTGTTGCTGCTTTTAATTTTTTAACCATATTGAAAATAATTCTACCTTTATGCATGGAGGCTATATTTCTAAATAACCAAAACATTCACGTGAAACTTTTCAAAAATCTCATTGTTTTCATGTATGTGGCTCCAAAGGCTATATAGTTGGATGTACTAATTATAGAGATTGAAAAAATTTATGTAATTATTTAACTTCATATAATAGAGAGTAAGACTTTGAAGATCTGAAAAAAAAAAAAGGGTAAGTTTTCACAGAATTCTCAGATATTTTATCTCTAAAATATTGAGGAGCATCTAGTACGTCAATTCTTACGCTGTGCTTAAAGCTGTAGACCAGTATTCAGTTGTCCTAAAAAGTCACTAGCTATGGGCACTGGCAGTAAAACAATAAATATTTGTATCACGCTTTATAGTTCACGAGGCATTTTCAGGAGCATTATGTCATTTTGATTCTTACCACAACCTGTGAAGCAGGTAAAGCTTGAGGAAGTGGAATTGAAGCCCGAGATTCATGTGAGTGAGCGACGCAGTCCCGCTTACACAGGACTTGTGGCCCGCGGCCGCGCTGCTCCCTGGGCTCATCCCCTCAGCAGTTCGCGCGCACACGTACACGCATCAACAGGGAAAGTCAGCCAACCCATCTGACAGTTTCAGTTTAAAAGGCAGCATGTTTTTAATTCACCGAGTTTTTAACTTTTTTGCTCTGTTCTGGCAACATTTAATGGGCCGAGCGATAAGGACACTGATACAGAGCCGGGCTGTTGCCTCGCCCCGGCCCCAGCCAGGTCTCATATGCTGAAAGAAAGCAAAGACCCTTTGGGAAGGAAGCGCCACTGCATCTTGGGGACATGACACGGTCGTGTCAGTTCTGCTTGCCCTCTGGGGCTGCTTTGGCTCTGGACACACAGTGGGGCAGCGGCCCGCGCCCTCCGTGGCCGGGCGAGCGGGGAGCGTCCAGTGGAGGCCGAGGCCGGGCCCCTGCCCTCTGGGTGTCCGGCGGCGGGGAGGCGCTCTCGGTTGACTGACGCGTGGCCCTGGCAACAACTAATTCAGATCAAAAGTTCAGTTTCCAGCGGAAAGCCTCCGAGGCCCCAAACAAAGGTGTTTTATTCCCACTGCCTCTCCTCCGCGGCTCTCGGCGGGGGGCAGGGGGCAGGGAAGGAGATGATAGCGCCTTTCAAGTCGCTGATGGCCTATCGTTAGCATCGGGGCGCGGCGGCTCAGCGTTTCTGCTCCTGAATGATTTATCTGGCGCTCTCGGGTTGCCTCTCCCTGAGGCTTTAGGAAGGAGAGTCGCTAAGTAACTTTGGAAACTGAGACTGAAAGAATATATGGCCAGTGAAAGGGGTGACTGCCCAGTTGAATCATGAGTTAAGTTCTAATTTATCAAGCCCGAGAATCTGAATGCCGCCACCTCTAACAGTTTCGTACTTGTTTTTTTAGGGATAAGACTGCGTGAATATGTCGAAACAGCCAGTTTCCAATGTCAGAGCCATCCAGGTAAGTAGGCATATTTGTGTTTTCACATCAGCTCTGACTTCTAGCCTGTTTGCTTAGTAAATCAGACTTTTTGCAGTTCTTTGACCCTAACCAATGATTACCTTCAAGAAGAAAACAAAGACTCGTTTAAGGTACACTTGAGAAAGGATATAAGGCCGGTAAGGTACAATGAAGAAGGAAGAAGCTATTTTTGTTTAATTGTGCTGAGTTATAAGACAAAGTTTATGAATGAGAATGAAATGTTCTACAAAAATGTAGTGTGTATGTTCTTTGATGTGTAAGTTTTTATATGCTCATTGATGGGAATTAAGAAATTCAATTTCCATTTTTATATCCAATTGAGTTTGTGGAGCCATCTGTTTAGAATACATCTTTCTGTAAATAATATACTTTTCTTGTCAAGTGTTCTTCCCAAGGCTTGGGTATTTATCTTTTAAAGTACATATGCTATTATGTCTCATCAAGCCCTCCCAGCAAATGAATTCTTTGGTTGTTTCAACTGACTTATGCATCACTCACAAAAAGGGGAGAGGGAAGCAGGAATTTGGGAACACAAATATAATTATGAAGATAACTTTCAATATTTGTTTTCACCAATTTGTTATTTCTCTTAAGGGCTCTGTGTTTAGCTCTCAAATGGCTCCCACACTGGGATGCTGGCCGCATGCTTTATTGTAAAATTCCATCTTTCCTTCCCATGAGCATGGAGCCATCTGTGCTTTCTCTAAAGGAACTTTCAGACATTTTTTTCCTGCACTGTGCTGAATACTGCAGAGCATGTGGCAGTTCCTGAATATTTGGGGTCTGCATAAACATACTCACAAGTGAGTGGTGGTATTCTGGAGGGGCGTGTGCGTGGCCAGGTTGTGGGCTTAGAAACCCTAGCGCACACCGGTGGGAGAGAAGAGTGAAGGGACAGGTCTTTACCTGTGGTGACTAATGCATAGCTTTACATGGATGGACTTCTTAAGTGGCAAGATCAACAACCACCTCTGGAAACGTGTCATAGAACAAACCAAGGAAGGGCATACTGGCAAGGAAGGAGTCAACTTCACATAGCCACGTTGGCCCTCTGGTGTCCACCTAGTGAGCCTGTGACATAGCGACACTGGTAGTGTAATTTATTTTGCTTCCCAGATCTGAGGGCCTCCTGGGGCCTTTGAACCTTCTCTTTACCCAGGGTGCAGAGCTGTTAATGGCATGGGCTCTGAGGCCAGGTTACTGGAGTCTGAGTCCCTGATCTATTTTGTACTGGTGTGGGATCATGGGAAAACAACTTGACCTATTTTACCTCTCTGCCTCCATTTCCACATCTGTAAAATGGGGGGAATAATAGTACTCACCTCCCAGGGCTACTCGTACAAGATGCTTAGAACAGCATAGTAAGCCCTCACCAAGTGTCAACTGTTATGATGCTATCATTCAGGAGTGATCTGTGTGAAAGTGATGAGAAGTAATGCACTGTACTTGAAGCTCCCACAGTGTGAAACATGAATTTCCTTTTCATTTTGCAGGACACAAAAACACAGTCCTTCCAGGCTGCCTTTGCTTCTCTTCTTTTTAAAGCTGAAAGTGTGTTGACTTTTTTCCCTTAGTGCTTCCCTCAGATCTGCACTGAAAATTCACCAGTATTTTATCTAATAATTTTGACCTTGATATATTTTTAGGTCTGTAATATTTTCTATTGACTGCTCTCAATAGCTGTTATTATACTGCATTTTAAAAAAATCCATCCACTCTACCAACAGTGGTTCCTTATGGATGTGGTATTGCCTCTTTCAATATATTTAATGCCACACAACAAAACCTAATTTAATGTACCTTCAAATGAAATATTATTTCTTGTGGTTAAACAGGATCTGCACTATCTGATATTTTCCTATTATATCTGCATTAACCTAAAGTAGGATCCATTAAATAAAATGCGAAAATTGTTACACTATACAAATGGCTATTTGTCTAGAACAAATAGAAACCTCAGTGGATGAGGGAGTGCCCTGGTTGTGTAAATACCACTCAAAGATCTTAGATGTTCTATTCAACAGACTCTAGTTGCTTCTCCTTTTTATTAGGATCTTATCTCCAATTTAGTACAACTGCCATTTCCTGGGTGCCTACTTTGTGCCCAGCACGCTAAGTGGGCGCTATGCAAAGAGGAGTTGACAGCTGAGCCCTGTGTTTGAGGAGCTCAGTCTCCAGCGCTTACTAGCTGTGTGACTTTGGGCAATGCGTTTATTCTCTTTGTGCCTTGGCTTCGTCATCTGGCAAGTGGGGAATTAATCACAGTGCTGATCTCATAGGTTTGCTGTGAGCATTAAATGAACTAATACATATAAACGCTTAGGCCAGTGCCTGGTTGATTGTAACTGCTTAATAAGCGTTAGCCGTTATTATCAATCATCATCATCATCATCTAGTTCAAAAGTTCCCAAAGTATGTCTCTTGGAATACGAGTTTTATGGGCTATTGTTACTTAAAGGGTTCCATGATAAAGTGTTTGGGAAACATTATATTAAGCAGAGTTGAATAGGACCTTTACTGCGGAATTTCTCGGACTGCACAACTTGCTGATGGCTTCGTAGATTCCCAAGAAGGTGGTAATATGTGCAATGTTTTCTAAATATATTGGACCATTTTCATGAATACTTGCAGGTTAGTATTTTGCAGGGCAAACTTCTTGAAGTAATGACTTAGATCTCTCTTTTGTCTGGATTGAACAAAACTTAGCCACTGTCAACAGTTTTTCTAACAGCCAGGCATTTAGTTAGCTGAATTACTTACTGCACCTATGTGTGTCAGACAGCATGGAGCCAAATGGCTACAAATCTCTGCCTGGCCACTCACTTAATCTGTCATCTTAGTTTACTCTTCTGTAAAATGGTAACAATCATACTATTTAATAAGATTTTTGTAATGAGTAAACAATATAATGTATGGAAAGTGCCTGGTTTATAGCGCACAAATTCCTTAAGAGATGGCTTCTGTAACTATCCAAGTAATGCACAGAGTGGCCTTGCTTTCTCTCCAACTGGTTCCATCTCTTCCATGCTCCAGAATAAGAGGGAGGCCAGAACTAGACCCACCCTTAGTGGAGATGGACAGTTGTCTTTCACATTCATACTGAAGAAGAGATGGCCTTTGAATTGTAAGAGGATTCTATGTAAGTCTACATTTCTTTTCAGTTGTAGTAATGAAATCTCATTTATGCCAAAGACATAAATATATCCTTAAGAAGTCAGTTGATCCTTTCGTAGCCTAGAGAGGGCCTTTGTCTCCAAAGCAGCTGATAAGGATCTAAACCAGATGTGGGTAAATCTTTTCTGTAAAAAACCAGAAAGTAAATATTTGGAGATTTGCAGATCATTGGGTCTCCGTTCCAGCTACTCAACTCTGCCATTATAGCACAAAAGCAGTCATAGGGAATACATAAGTGAATGAGTATGGCTGTGCGCCAATGAAACTTATTTACAAAAACAGGTGGCAGTTTGGATTTGGCACATGAGCTGTAGTTTGCTGACCCCGGTTCTATATTCTCCAGGCTGACTGTTAAACTCCACTGTTGATGGGAGTGGATTTGCAACCAAGGTAACGTCAGTACACTAGGTAGAGTGGGTCTGATCCCTTCAGATGAAAGAATTTGACATGACAGGTGGTAGAGAAAGCTAGAGCTGCAGGGAAATCTAATGCCATCAGCAATCCGCTTGGTGAGTTTCTCTAATGAGACGGAGTGACACTGGCCACTGGCAGCACTCGCCTGTCCTTCCCCTTCCTCCTGAAAACACTTCATTTGAAAACACAATGGGCCTCCCCAGGGCCTCAGCCCACCCAGAGCCAATGGTCTCTTGGCTGTCACTTTTCCTTCCTCTCCACCATTGGTCAAAGTAAGCTGAGTATTCTTTGTCTTCTCCCCTGAGGTCTGAGAGCTTCGTGGTTAAATGGGAAAGTCCTGTACCCTAGTCTTAGCTCTGCTCTGGGACTTCACTCCCCTGGTCCTCGTGATCTGCAAAGGGAGGCTGTTTCATTAAATGACCTCTAAGCCTCTGTCCAGCTTCTAATAGTCTATGAACTTCTTGAGAATAACTTCCAAGGTTTATTATTAGGATGATAATAATAGTAACAATTTCTTCACGGTTTACTATGTACTTGGCACAGTGCAAATGGGATTTCTATGGATTATAATGAAAGTTTTAGAGAAGAGAAAGAACTCACCCAGAACCACACAGCTTGTAAGTAGGAGAGTCAGGACCCAAACCCAAGCTGTGTGATACCAAAGCACACGTTTGGATCCAGCCTGCAGCACTACGTAGCCTCATTACTTACATTCCCTGCCTTGGCACGGAGAGTGAGGATGGGGGAGCTGGTGCAGGCCATCTAAAGGATAATCGGAAGTACTAAGGCTATTTGAGGGACAATTACCATTTTATGGAGGTTGGGTCCTCCCTTTTAAAGAGCTCAACAGAAAGCGTTAGAAAGTGTCAGCATTCAGCGAAGAAGCTAACAGCCTACACTGATTACTGTAATCTTAAATGTAAGTTGGCTAGGAATGACAGGTACAAATTAAAGTGACTCAGTGACGGACACAGTCTCGAAATACACAGGACCATGGCCACGGAAGTCCCACCTCTCTACTTAACTGACTTAATCAAACTGCTTGTAAAACTAAACCTGACTCCATCATACGTTTCAAAGGAATGACTGTGCGAGGCCTGCGCCGGGAGGTCTCCCAGCGCTGCTCAGTCCCGCAGAGCGGAGCATCTGATGTCCTGAGCGCTGATGCTCCTTTCTCTCCCCCACTGTCATCGCTGCTCTCCTCCGCATTGCCCGGGGCCTAAAGGCTCCGGAAGAATAAAAGGGCCTGACAGAAAGAAGAAATTCACAGCCAGGAGCTAGGGACTCTGTGTGCGCCCAGTCTAGGATTTCCAGTGCAAAAACAATTCCAGGGCTGTGGCAATCCTTAGTACAAAGGGACACACTATCACCACCCATGGTTGGTCAGTTAA